CGCACCCTCACCACCCCGTGGAGATTCGCACCCTCACCACCCTCCAGGCCTTCTGCAAAGCCCTTAAATCCTTGCTGTTCCGACAGGCCTGGGGCTAAAGAACCGTTGCCCCCGTCTCGAATGGTATGATTGTTGTGTGTTTTAAATCATGTACTGTTTTTGTGTCGTTTTAATTTGTCTGTATCCCCCCTTCCCTGGTTTGAGTTGTGAGCCGCCCTGAGTCCCCTTCGGGGGGAAAAGGGCGGCATATAAATGAAATAAACAACAACAAACAACACCCTCTGGACCCAAAGGCTCTCCCAGGAAGACACGTCAAGCAACAGCCCTTGGACCTCTCTGTCCTCTCCAAGCGGGTGTTGCCTCCCACAAACTGGCTCCTCATTTTACTGACCGGAAGGCAGGCTGAGCTGACTTTTGAGCCGGTCAGGATCAAACTTCTGGCAGTGAATGAGTTTGCAACGTTGCATTCCAACCACTGTGTCACCAGGGCTCTTGTAAATTGCACAGAGCGCGCTGTTAAAAGTTTTCCTGGGCTTAATTAACTTGGGCTGTCATCACACCAGCAACTTCCCAAGGTCTCCAGGGGAATAGCAGTAGCACCGTCTTAAGCTTATACACCACTTCACAGTGCTTCACAGCCCTCTCTGAGCAGTTTAGAGTTCAGATGTTGCCTCCCACAATCTGGGTCCTTTTACTGACCTGGGAAGGATGGAAGGCCCAGCCAACCTTGAGCCTGGTGAGATTCGAACCTGCTGGCAGTGGGAATGCAGAGTTAGCCTGCAATACTGCATTCCAACACTGCCACAACAAAATATGTCTTTCTCTCCAGCTGCTTCCCACCTGGGGAATTGCACAGTGATGCAGCACAGGCAGAAGCCTCCAGAGTTTGGGAGGGGAGCATGATTTGTCTGCAAATCTTGTTGCATGGCACTTTCATTCCCACACTAGCCACTCTGGCCCAACTCCTGCTGTTGTAGAGAACGAGGCTTCCTTAAGGCCAACAAGAGTGTTAATTGTTCAGTAAATCTGTCACGTGTCAGTTGCAACTGTCCTCCAATTGAAATGTGCCCCCCCCCAAAAAAAATCAGGTCACCCAACAGCCCAACCTGCTCAACTGTCTCATTTCAGGCCCCCTTCCCCATTCAGTGGGGTCAGACCCTCTTGAAAATATCAAGGCAGACAGAAACGTTTTCCAAACACACATTTATAGATTTTTTTTTCTGTTCCAAAAAAAGAGGAAAGAGAAGGGAGAAAGTATTCCATACATTTCTGCCTGTCCCTCTTTCCTTTTAAATATAAATATTTTCAAGTCTCTGTAATTGTAGCCCCTTTCATCACACCTGCTCCCTCCAGAGAACAATGTAGGAGATGCAACCCAAACCAAAATAATACCAGGGAAAAATAATGCTTGGGTGGGGGACAGGGAGAACTGCCCCCCCCCAAAAGGCCCGGGCTTCACAGCAAGGCTTCCTCTCTTCTAAACTGGTGCCGCTCAAACAGACAGACTCAGAGCTATCCATGGACCCCTCAAACAGCTCCTTGTGCCTTACCATCTCCAGCTTGATTGGTGCCCTCAGCAGGAGGACCCCATGGTGGTGATAGTGCAGGTCCCAGACAAAGCAAAAACTGACACTGATTCGCAAACCCTGCCTCCTACCTCCAAAGACTGACTGAATTCTCTTTTGGTCACACACACACACTCAGTGTGTGGACCAGAGCTGGGGACTGAGAGGCCAGCATGAGCCTCCCCAGGTGACCCTACGGCCTGGTCTTGTACGGCTAGTCCAGGGGAGGAGAAGGGAGCCTAAAGCAGCAGCCGGGAGGAAAGATACCCGTCTCCTGGGAGAGTTACAGCTTTCGTGGCTTCCTGGGGAAGGGGAGCAGTTACGCTTGGTCTGTTCCCCCTGCAGTGCTGCCTTCAGCTCCCTTCCGCTATGCTAGCTTGGATGGGCCCCAAAGCCTCCCCTGTGGGTGACCCAGCTTGATCCCTAAAACGAGCCCCTCCCCCACAAAGTCCCGGTTCTGTACATGCCTCTGAATGGCCCAAACGCCTATGCACCCTGCCCGCCCACCAGAGCCAACACCTGCCCTCCCCCCTCCTCCTCCTCCTCCTTCCCCTTCTCCCCATCCTCCTGCACAGAATTGTACCAGCCACCAAAACGAGAGGTTGAGATGTGCTGCATTTGTGATCCCGGCTGGGCTGGATCCAGTGAGTAAAACGCAGCTCTGGGCCAGGCACGGCTCTCCCTGCTCCAGAGTGGCGACCGGCCGCTGCACGGAAGCATCTGCAGCCCCCCCTGCGCCTCCTCGGCTTGGGCCAAGGGCTGCCCTCCCGCCCCCTCCTTTCAGGCTCGGGGGGAGTAGCAGGGGTTGCCCGGCAGTTCCGTGAAGGACTTCAGCTCGTAAGGGATCCCGGAGTCCATCTCGATCGACTTGCGCGAGAAGAGCAGCCGGATGTTGTCGTGCAGGTAGATCTTCCCTGACTTCGAACTCTGGAACCTGGGGAAGGAAGCAGGAGGCTCTTCACAGGGGGCTTTGGGGGGTGGGGGGATCAAAGGCTGCTGCTCTGGGAGGCCAGGGGGGTCTGTGTGGGAACCAAGGCTCCAGGGGTGGGTTTCTCGCCCCGTTCCAACCGGTTCGGTTGGAACAGGGCCGGCGGCGTCCTCGTGCACGCGCGCAGTGCACGCATGCGTACTAGCACCTGTGCAATGCTCCAGGAGGATCGCGCAGGCGCTGTATGCGTTCTGCGCATGTGTGGAAGTGCAGAACTCGTCAAAACCGGGTAAGAAACTTGGGTGGGCAGGTGGATCCTTCAGCATTCCCGGAAGTTACTTACTTCCGGGTTCGCCGACCAACCGGTTCGCGGGGACCGCCGCGAACCGCCTGAAACCCACCCCTGCAAGGCTCCTTTGCCTGCAATTAGGGGGAAGGGGCACAATTCTCCATACAGTCCTCAACTT